CAGGCTGTTAAGGTTTTTCCTAAGCTTAATTTCTCTGGAAGGAGAGAGTTCAAGAAACCTAATAGTGATGTTTTTTGTTCACATTGCAAGAACAAAGGCATCAGATTGATCAGTGTTTTGTTCTAAATGGATATCCTGATTGGTGGAACAAGCCGAAAGGTGTTGAGAAGTCTACTGTTCGTTCTGATAATAATGCCTTTTAGAGTTATCAATCTGGTATTCTTAGGAAGGCTTCTATTGCTGTAGAGGATACTAATTCTTCTGGTGTTGATCCAGCTGTTGCATGCTTCAGCTATTTACAACAAGTTGCTCAAGATTATAAGAATAGGAGGATCAACTGCTTGTGCTATGGTTGGAGATGATCCTTTGAGTACTGTTGTTAATTTTGCTGGTACGATTATTGTTTCTCATGTTGCTAGTTTGCCTAAATACTTTGATTATGCTAGCTGGATTATTGATACTGGAGCTAGTGATCATATGACTTCTAATTTGGCTTTGTTTGCTGCTATTAAGCAACTAGATAACCCTGTTAGAGTATCTTTGCCTAATGGAACTGTTAAGCTGGTCAAATATAATGGTCTAGTTCATCTTACTCTAAATATCACTCTCTATAATGTCCTGTATATTCCTGACTTCAAACATAGTCTGTTGTTAGTAGGAAAATTGCTAGATCACAATGAACTTGTTGTCATTTTTTAATAAGATTCATGTTCTTTTCAAGACTTCACCACTAAAAAGGTGCAAGCTGCTGGGACAAGAGTGTCAGTTCTTTACAAGTTTTCTATTGCTTCTTTTTCTTCTTTTGTCAAGAGCAAACTTGTTTCTGCTGTTGATGTTGCTAATAATGTTCTTTCTGCAAATAATACTATCACTAGTTCTGTGATTACTAGTATTGACTTAATTCATGCTAGGCTAGGTCATCCTTCTATGGGAAAATTAAGATATGTAACTCTTCCATCTTTTGTCAAGTTCAATAATACTTCTAATTTTGAGTGTGAAGCTTGTGTTCTTGGTAAACACCATAAGTTGCCTTATAGTTTGTCTAATTCTCATGCTTTAGAACCCTTTGATCTTGTTCATGCAGACTTATGGGGTAAGTACAGGAGACCTTCTTTGAGTGGGGCTACATATTTCCTCACTATCTTGGATGATAATACTAAAGTGACTTGGACTTATCTGATTCATTCTAAAACACAAGTGTTGTCTGTTCTTACTAGTTTCTTTAAGTATGTTACTACTCAATTTGGGAAACATATTAAGGTGATTAGGAGTGACAATGGTATTATTCAAGATTCTTGTGTTGTTTTCTTTGCTAGTAGAGGTGTTGTGAATCAAATAAGTATTCCTAGTAATCCTGAGCAAAATGGGAGAGTGGAGAGGAAACATGGGCATTTACTTGAGACTGCCAGAACCCTTAGTTACCATACAAATATTAGGGTGATTTTTTGCTCAGTGCAACCTATTTGATTAATCAACTTCCTAATTTTGTTTTGAAATGGAAGAGTCCTTATGAGATGTTGATGAAAACAGTTCCTAATTATGATCATTTGAAGGTTTTGGGTTGTCTTGCTTATCCTAACATGAAGACTGCAGACAAATTTGCTCCAAGATCTACTAGGTGTGTTTTTATTAGGTATCCTTTTGGACAAAAGGGGTATAAATTCTACGATTTGAGTACTCATAAGGTGATATTGAGTAGAGATGCTTATTTTGTTGAGGATTCATTTTCTTTTACGGAGCTTTTAGCTTATGTTCCTAATACTTCTCTCAGTCCAGTAGATCTTGTTAATCCTGCTTTGGATTGTTCTTTTCCTACAACCATTCCTACATATCTTGTTTCTTCTTCTTCTTTCACACCTTCTTCTTCTCATTCAGAAACTGAATTCCCCAATAATCATAATTCTGATGATTCTTTTTCTTCAGCAATATTATCTTCTGATAATTCTTCTTCTCAAAACACTATTCTTGTTCCTGTCATAAATCTTGTTAGGGTGTCTTCTAGACCTTGCAAAGTACCTTCTAATTTCAAAGATTTTTTCCTTGCACAAACTTCTCAAAGAAATGTGCAGGATCAGGACAATGATCAGTCTCTTTCTTTCAATGTCTATGCTGAACCTACTTTGGCACACATAAGTCCTGAAAATCTATCTAGTCTATCCTTCGTTCTTACTGCTTTTGAACCTTCATCTTACAAGCAAGCTAAGGACCGTCAAGAATGGGTTAAGGCCATGAATAAGGAGTTAGATGCTCTTGAGTTAAATGACACTTGGGTTATAACTGATTTGCCTTCAGACAAGAAAGCTATTGGATGCAAATAGGTCTATAAGACCAACTTTAAACCCAATGGTGATATAGAAAGGTGCAAGGCTAGAGTAGTTTCTCAAGGTGATAAACAAGAGAAAGGGAAGGATTATAAGCACACTTTTAGTCTTGTGGCTAATTTGACAACTGTAAGGATTGTTCTTGGTCTAGGAGCTGTTAGAAATTGGGACATACATCAACCTGACATTAATAATGCCTTCTTGCATGGTTATTCTAAGGCAAAGACACGGCAAGTTTATAGGTTAAAAAGGTCAATATATGGTCTGAAGCAAGCATCCAGATGCTGGAACAAATAGTTGAGCAATTTCTTGATTCAGTGGGGTTTTACTCAATCTCAACAGGACTATTCTCTTTTCATTTTGAACAGATCTGGTTCCTTTGTTGTTGTTGTGGCTTATGTGGATGATTTGTTAATCACTGGTAATGACAACAAGCCCATTAAGACTTTGAAAGAAGATTTGCATGTTGCTTTCTCTATTAAAGATCTAGGAGGGTTGAAATATTTCCTTGGGATTGAGGTTTCTAAATCAAGTAGTGGAATTCTTTTAAATCAAAGGAAATATATTCTTGATCTTTTAAGGGATCAACATATGGAGAATTGCAATTCAGCTTCTTTTCCTTTACCTAAAGGATTAAAGTTAAGTTCTTATGATGGAGATTTATTGCCTGACCCTAAAGGGTACATAAGGTTAATAGGGAAGCTGTTGTATCTAAATTTGTCAAGGCCTGACATTTCCTTTGTTGTGCAACAGTTGAGTCAATTTCTGTCTGCACCCAGGGTTCCTCATTTGTCTGCTACAACTCATGTGTTGAGGTATATTAAGGGTACTCTCAATCTTGGTCTGTTTTATCCTGTGAATTCATATTTGAATCTTGTGGCATACAATAATGCAGATTGGGGAATGTGTTCTGATTTAGGGAGATCTTTGACAGGTTACTGTGTTTTTCATGATAATTCCTTAGTTTCTTGGAAAACTAAGAAACAAAAGGTTGTTTCTGACAGTTCAACTGAGGCAGAATACAGAAGTATGAGTCACACAACTGATGAAATTGTGTGGTTAGAACAACTGTTGGCAGAATTGAATATGGAGGTTCCTACTCCAATTAGAATGTTTTGTGATAATGTTTCTGCAATTCATATTGCAGAAAATCCTGTTTTCCATGAGAAAACTAAGAACTTGAGGAGTAAACATCATAAACTTAATGTGCATTATGTAAGGGAGAAAGTTCAGTCTGGCCTTGTGGAATTGAAGCATGTAAGGTCAGCTTTGCAGCTTGCTGATATAATGACAAAGCCTTTAGGGGTAGATCAGCATCGGTTTTTGGCTTCAAAAATTTGTTTGACTCAAAATACTTTATCTCGAGAATGGACAAGTCTTCAGCATTTGCCTTCAGACAGTCATTCTTGAGGGAGGGTTGTTGAGATCATGACAAATGCATGATCTCGGGTTTGTTATGCCATGCTGGCAGTTAGTTAGAGGACAACTCATTTATTGTTATGTATTCCTCCTGTAATAAATAGTTTCCCCTGTAATTTTATTCTTCAGATTTTCTCATAATAAAATTTCTGATTCTATTTTCTTCTTCTCTCTTCCAATATTCTCTCTAAATTCTGGGTTTCTTATCACAAAAGGTGTTTAAAGGGTTGGAGGTGGATCATCCTTCAGTTATTAAACATTCGAAACGCCTTGCTGCTGACATTATGATGTACTCAACGAAGGTGTATGGAGGAATCTGCAGGCCACCAGCTTGTAGCAGCTCCAAAACCTTGAAGGCGCCACCCCCTGATGTTGTGAAAGTCAATTGCGATGCGTCATTGAGCGATGTTGGACGGATTGGGTTGGAGTCGTGGCTAGAAACTCTATGGGAGTTGTTCTTTTCGCTGCTACAAGGAGAGGGCGAAGTTTATGGGATCCCATTGTGGCCGAAGGTAAGGCATTGCTAATGACAGTTAGGCTTGCTCGCAAATTTGGCTTCAAAAGAGTGATATTCGAGTCTAACAATCTCACTCTTATCTCAAAGCTTTCAAAGGCCTCCATTCACTTGATTGAGCTTGAGTCGATTTTAGAAGATTTTTTTCTATTACCTCCTCTTTTGATTTTGTTATTTGGAATCATGTAAAAAGGGAAGGCAACTACATAGCACATCACCTTGCTAAGTTAGTTTCGTTTGGTGTGGAGCTAGTGTGGGTTAACCATTATCCATGTGAGGTTAATCTATATGTTTTATCGGATGCTTTATCCCCTTGATTAATTAATATTATGCTCCGTTTGTTCAAAAAAAAAAATAATAAAACTATGGAAGTGCTTGGTTTGGAACTTATTGAGGCAAAATTAAAATCTGATCACACAAGCTAATTGAAGAGTTTGATTGTGAACTGATTTCAAAGAGCTTATACCACTAAATAAACTCAATTCCAAAAAAATTCCTTTCACTAGTAATTCAAGTATCTTAAAGTAACATGACAATTATTCTTCCAATTAACCCCAAACCCTAATGTCCTTATTGCAATAATTGGTCATTTTGCATATTAAAACAACTTTAAACAATTATCTATTTACCAAACAATTTTATACAATAAGTTAACAATTAATCAAATCAATTGATACAATTAGCTATTCATGGTCAGATTATGTTTTGCCAAAAAAAATAAATTAAAATAAACCAAGGTGCAAGTATACAAGAACACCAAAAATAATTGTGATATACATGGTGAAATTTAATCAATCATAACTTATATTACTACCATAACAACAAAATCATGTACAAATTCATTCCAATGAAAGAAAAAAAAAATTCCTTGCTTCCATTTCCTTTATCTATGCAAATCAAAGGGGAAAAAAGGGCTATTGATACATTTAACAAGGAGTAAGAAAAAAAAATTACAAAAGAGAGAAAAATATACTGTACAAAAAATTGGTAAGCTAGATGGAAGGGCTAGCTAAAAAGAATTGCCTACAACTTATCATTCTACTGCAAGTCAGCAACGAAAAATTTGGGTGTTTCTTCAGTCTTCGACAATTACAATCTATGTTAGTACCTAATGAAATAGAAGAAAAGAATCAATTCATTGTCTCCAATTTTCAGGCATCTACTTGAAGCAAAATGGTACTTCAAAGCATAATACTAACCTTTCAGCAATTCATTGTTATTTTGGTAGAAGTTCTTCAACTTCAATTTTAAGGAAGTTTGAATTTGATTCCCTCACAGAAACATCCACAGAAAATGATGAACAAACAGGTCGGTGATCAGAAAACTGATACTTATTAGAGTCCTTACGTTCGTAATGTAACTGCTGCATACCATCCCCCTTCCATAAAATTCTGTCACACCTGTAAATAGTATGTTATCGATAAGTTTAGTACATATATTTATGACAGGAAGATTCTGTAATATGTAAATCAAAATTCAGTGCTGATACCAAGCAGGAGTTCTTCTTTTGCTTGGTGCGATGTTGGTTTCTCCAAGATAAATGTCTGAGTTAAAAGAGTACTTGTAAGTAGGTGCAAATTTTATAAGCCCTTCTCTCCATCCTTTGAATACTCGCCCAGCCTCCCTCTCGATTTTTAGCTATACAAACACAGAATCACATCGATCAGCAAACATATTGCAGTTCATAAATTATAAATCTAAAATTATGGTGGCAATACATGAACAAACTTGTTCCTTTTGTTTACTTGTTACATTTAGTTCAACGAGACAAGTTACCAATATAGCTCTGTTGAGAAAGTAGCTTTAAAACACAAAAATCCAGGCCATTGAGCAGTTTTTAATTATTGTGAATCAGGATAATTGCACATACAGGTTGTGTTCTTTTCACTTGGAACATTACATATTTCGGGATAAAATAAGTTGAGATAAGTGAATTTAAGTTGAAAAGAACGTAGTCTACAAAATCTGAACTAGAAGGCACTGACATAGGATGTTCCATGAAGGACTTCAGCAAAGATGTAATGAAGCAAATAAAAGTACATCGTAACACATACCTGATCCTTGCTGAGCAGCGCCTCCCATTCTCTTTTCTTCAGCAGCTTCAGGGTTTCCGTATGACTTAAAGCAATTCTGTAATTCAAGTCCCCAAACCATATGATCCGGCTAGTGTATTTTTTTTTTTTTTGCCCCACCCATCAAATAAATTGGTCAGACATTATCAATAAAGTAATATCAGTAATCTGTAGCAGAAAACTATATATAACCTACTCATGCTCTAAGATTCTTTCTGGAATTTGGCTGTTCAAAACTTTGCATCTTCTTGGGAAATAAGTGCTTTTAAGTATCTCTATAACATCCAAATTCCTTCTAAGCTCATCTCCTTCTTTCTCCCCGGATGCCAGATGGCTGCATATGAAACAAAAGCTCGTTCGATGCAGAAGCATGCTCACAGAGATGCAGCCCTGCCAAAAGAAATACATATCAGCATGATTTAGAAAGATTTGAATCTAAAAGCTGAGTTTTATTATTCCATAAAACAAAGAAATTACCTTGTTTCCGAGGCCCATGATACCACGACTAATACAAGAAGTTTTTAAGTGACTAATATGTGGAACGAGCTCCCTCTTTACCCATATTGTGAGAAAAATCCCAACCATCTGCTTACTTACAATTAAGCTGTATTTCTGATTACTTCCAGAAGAATTAATGATTTCTGAAAAAACAACTCCGTTTGGTCCATCATCTTCTTCTGATGAATCGTCACTAACGTTACTTTGTTGGCAGCGAAAACACGAATCCCTGGTGTATCTTCTCTCTAGATCTGAGACACAGTTGCATGTCTTGAGCTTCTTTTTGCTTTCTGTCCTGAATTGCTTGCTCATAGCTTTGAGGGAGTACTTGGGAAAGAACACTGAGCCACTCGCCGTGCTTGTTAGTTTATTATTTTTGGTTCCATACATAGTCTTTGCTTCTATCAAAGAGGTTGCTTTTCTCAGAGCTTGGAAATGGTTATTACTTCCATTGAGAGACTGATTAATAAGAGCCAGCCACCTTGCAGCTGGCTCACTGTCTTCTAAAACAAGCACGTTTCCAGCATTTAACGGGACAATTTCCTGAAATCTTCATACAACAAGCAATGATCATAACAAATCAAATTCCATGTCCGGTCAGAAAACAGATTACACATTTATGGATAATTTCACAATATAAGGTATGCAAAAATAGGGAGATAGACTGGTTAATTAATTCTGATACAGATTTAACAATAGAGGATTAAGGGAAAGAGCGAATTACCCCAGGACATAGATATCTGATGGAGCACTAAGCTGAAGAAAATCGTCAAGAACAAGGCTATTCTCTGGAGGCTTCCCTCCCACATTCCATGTAGCTACAAAAGTCCTGAGAAGAAAAAAAATTTAGAAAAATCAGCAAAATTTAAGGGAAAAAAAAAAAAGATCCGGGATTTGGAAGAAAATGCAACCAAGAAAGAAAAGAGGAAAGGGTAAAAGTGATCCTATGTACTTTAAGGTCTTGGCATTTTGAACTGCTGGCATTTCGGTTCCAGAATTAGTAAAGGCGTCTGCTTCTGCATAAGGCAAATCAATGAAACAAATCACCCACCAAATTTATAATCTGGATACACAAACCAATCAAACAGTAAATCGCAACCACTACAACAAGACAAATTCAACTAAAAGAGTAAGAGGAATAATATTGATAAGCAAATTGCCAATTACTACCAGCCAATCTATCAGCTTTATGATAAAGATAAGATAGATTGGAATTTAGAAGCGTATATATCATCCCTGCTTTAACTCACTATTAACAAGATTTGCCATAATCATAATGAATCATATTCTTCATCATAGATGCCAATAAATTTGGACCACTTTTTCCTTATAACTTTCCTACCAATGTGACATTATAAGTCATTCGATAACGACATTCATTGATTAAAAAGGCAAAATACCTTGTTATTGTACAATGTTCGAACATGAAAGATTAACAGAATCACTAGCAATAGCATACATCATGTCGAAGATAAAAACATAACCGATATGGAAGGATTCGGAGTAACTAACCAGAAGGGAATTTAATCCCTCGTCGACTTCTATCTTTTGATGCAAACATTTTATGAATCAAAGACTGAAAACATAACAAAAAATTGAAGGTCAAAAGATGGGTTTACCAAGACGTGGCCAACATATAAAGCCAATATCTTGAAGAATGACAGCACAATTGGTCGGCATTTTGGTAATGGAAAATCCAGGAAATAAGGAATTAAATTAAATAATTTAAAAAAAAAACATACATTAGAGGGTGTAAACTGTAAAGTATTTTATCACATGAAATAATTAAATAAATAAATAGAATTTGTAATATAAACTATAGTTTGAGTAATTAACAAATGATGGAAAAGTGAAATATAAGCATTAAAATTATAATTTAAATAATTAGAATAATAATTATACCTTGCTTTTTCTATCTTGTGAATTCAAAGCCATCTGAAGACCATCAAAAATTTGATAAATTGCTCCGGCCCAGAATCTCCAAACCCCATAAACTGTTGTATATTTATGCAAAATTTGACAAGGGTAATTAGACTATAATTAATTTATCAAATCTAAATACCCTTGTATTAAGAACAATTTAAGGGATTTGTAATCTTATTCACAACCAAAATCCCCCTTTTCAATTTTAATATCAATCAATAACAATAAAAATATAAAAAATTTCACAAACAAAAAAAATAATTACAAGAAAATAATGCAAGAACAGAGCAAATGAGGATTAAATAAGAAGGAAGAACCCATAAATCAATGTAATAAAAAAAAAAAATTAAAAACCCCAAATTTGAGATTTTTATTTTAATAAATTAATTTCGAGAAAGTCAACCTACCAGCCATTGAAATTTTCAAGGGAAAAACCTGGGAAAATGGAGAGGAATGAAAAATAAATCTGAGACAAAAACATTTGGAAATTTGGGGAAAAATTTTGAGAAAAAAATGGAGATTGAAACTTGTCTTGTAACATGAAGAAAGGTATCAAAATTCCAATAACATGAATATATAAACAAATACAAGTAAATAAATAAAATTAACTTGTTCAGATAAAAAGAAAGGGTCAAAATATTGAAAAAAAAAAAAATCAAAGCAGTTGTACTAGTTTTTTGGAAGAACCTTGAAATTCCCAAGAAACCAGAAAATTTCTGGGAAATGTTATTATATTTGTTTGTATATGAAAATTTTGAGATGGTTTTTTTTTTTAATTTTTACAAGAATAGGGAATAAATTTGATTTTTGTAAAATTGAAATTTGTTAAATTCGTCTTAATAAATTTTTTTTATACAGTTAATTTTTTTTATTTGATTATATTTAAAGGATAAATAAATTAAATGAAATTATGTATTACCAAATGTGTCACTAAAGTTATAATTAATATAAAACGGAATACATAAATTAATTTATAAAATTGGTTATTGTAAAATTGGGTTAGAAACTGTTTGATTGGGTGTGAAATTGTTATAGAGAGAAGAGGCAATGACCCCACGTGTGGGGAGTTTACAAACCAAATCTTACGTTTTACGGAGTATGGAAATTTCTCAATTCCCAATGACTGAAGACCTGAGTCTTCGTTTACTCTACCACCTTCGATTATTTTTGTGTTTTGTATTCACACATTGTATATTTATGAGATGGTTTTATCTCAACCAACAACATACGTTTTTGGTCTCTATTCTTTGTTGTGTGGAGTGTAATCTTTTGTCCACTTTCATATAAGTTTCCAAAGAAGAAAGAATTATGTTAATGGTTGTGTTATTCTAGTAGTAACAAGTGTCGAGTTTGTTGTGGGAGAGATGTGTTTTCGTTTTACCAAGATTAGTTGTAATCGTGGGGAAGAGATGTTTTATTGTTTTTTTTTAAAAGATTAATAATCGAGAAAGATTAAAATGACAATTGATGTATTTAGTTGAGTTTTATGCGCATGATTTAATTAAGTGTTACACCAAAAATATAAAGAATTAACTAAGATAATTGGCATCTATTAGTGCAGGATCGTTAAGAGCTGAGCCTGCTCGTGAACTGTTCGAACTCAGCTCAGTTAAAGCTCAAATCGAGTTTGGGTTCGACTCGAGATTAAATGAGACGATACAAGAGCCATGCTAAGTTCGACTTGAAAAGCTCGCAAGCGGCTCAAATTATTATTTTTAAAATAAATATTATATGTATTTAATTAAATTTGATAAGTTAATAAGCATAATAACAACAATCCACTATTATATTTGGGTAGTTTGGTAAGTTATGTGATATGAATTATGTATTTATGGCCCTAAATGAGCTTAATTTCAAACTCGATCCAATAACGAGCTCAAGCCGAGCTCCAATTTTGAGCACTCAAGCTCGAGTCGAGCTCAGTTTTCAAAGCTCGACGAGCCACAAGCTCAAGACGAGTCTACTAGTATTCGGGCTCGGCTCAGCTCAACTCATTAACAACCCTATTATGGAGTACAATCTTTTATCCTTTGTATAAGTTTCCAAACAAGAAAGATTTATGTGGATGGTTGTGTTATTCTAGTAATAACAAGTGTCAAGTTTGTTGTGGGAGAGGCATGTTTTCATTTTACCAAGATCAGTTGTCATTGTGGGGAAGAGATGTTTTTTTTTTCCTAAAAATTGATAGTCACAAAAGATTTAAATGATAATTATTGATGTAATTAGGTAGAGTTTTATGCGCGATTTGAGTTTTACACCAAAAATGTACAGAACTAACTAAGACAATGGGCAACTATTAGTAAGGGATAGTGTCACTAACAAACTCATCTGCTTGGAGGCTTGGAGCTCTAGGTTAGAAGTAATAAAAGGTACATACATTTATTTAAGATAAACATAACTCATTTTCGAGCAAAGGAATCGAACAAGGTCTAAAACTTGGATCATTCCAGATTCTTTTACCTATCTTGTTAAAATTATCGAAAACCCACTTTAAGGCAGAAAAGGTATGCCTAAGGCTAAAATTTATTTCTTGGAAGCCAAAAGATTTTACACAAATTTTGTAATTATTTTTTTATACAATTATGTCAAACTCACGTTAATTGAATACTTAGGGTAAAAACGAATACATGTATTAGAAGAGATGCCCTGGCCATGTCCCTTGCATGTGGACAGTTGTAATGAGTAAGGTTGAGCCTATGCAAAAAAGTAAGGGTTTATTTGGCATTATTTTTAATTTTTAATTTTTCTAAAATTTTGAAAACAAAAACCAAAAACAAGAAACAAGAAAATAAGGCTTGTTTGGCATTGTTTTTTGTATTCAGTTTTCAGTTTTTTTGAAAACAAAAAACAGGAAACAAGAAAAAAGGTGTTTTTACTTTTCTGTTATCACTGTTCAAAATTAGCATGATTTTAATAAGTTTGACTAATTTTTTATTCATTATATGACATATATCATACACTTTTAATTAAAATACAAAAAACCAAAAAATCGAAAACCGCAACAATGCCAAACGAACCCTAAGTATTTTCACTTTTTATTTGTCAGTTAAATCAATTCTTGATTCATTATATAATTTTACTTCATCTATTCTTTTTTTATTGCACCATGATTATATAATATACTTCATCTGTTCTTTTTTTATTGCATCGTGAGGGATTCCACGTTTGCTAATTCATTATTTTAGCTATTAATATTTTCGATTATACTTTTATAAAAATTATAAAAAAAATGTTATTTGAAAAATAGATTTCGAGACGAACCTAACTATATCCCACATGACTATGTTTGTCCTAATGGATCAATCACAAATGATAGTCATCAAAGAAGAATAAGTGAATAGTGTAAAAGTTTTTATGGTGCAATAAAAGAGAAACGAAGGAAGTATATCATATGATTTTGAATATATATATATATATATACATATATATATATATATACATATATATATACATATACATATATATATATATATATATATATACATATACATATATATATATATATATATATATATATATATATATATATATATATATATATATATATATATAGCGATACTCAACGTACCCTAAAGTTTTGGGTTGGGACAAGAATTCGAGATCTGGCTAAATCATATAACTAATATATAAAGCTAAACTTTTAGCCAGGTCACGAGACAGGAATATTTGGCGTTTCAACTTTTCGCCAAGCGTCGTGTCACGTTGGATAGATTTAAATAGATTTCTTAAGATAAAAAAGTCAATTTAAAATTATATTTGTATAGAATTTAAATAAAATTGTTAGTTTAGAGTTATATTTTCGATAAAATACCAATATTTTAGATGTACAAATTGAATTATAATTTTATTCAAAAAAATTATTAGATTATAATTCTAAAAAATTATCATATAAATTTACTATTTTGCATCATAATATTTTTTGGAACAAAGGAAGCTAAGTAGTTCAAAACATTTATAATAAATACAGATCGGTTAAAATAAAATATATACTTCACAATCTCTAATAGAATTTTATTGCTATGTAGACTTGTTAATTAGGTTCGGGGTCATGAGTTATCTTGGATTAAAAATTTATCTTAAAATTCAATAACAATCTGGGCATCGCACTGGGCACAAAACTAGTATATATTATATGCTTGAACCCCAAAAAAATAGTGGATTTTTCATATCAATTATTATCTAGGCCAATTATTAAAAAAAAATATATTATCCAAGTCAAATTATAACTAAAATTATTTTAGGCTATCAAAAAAAAAAAAAAAGATATAAAATCTCTCTAAATCCATGTAAATTTCAATCAGCAAGTCGGTTTGAACTAGCTAGTCTTGACTTAGGGTATGTTCTCATTGACTGGACTCAACTGAATTGAACTGAACTTATTAGAGCTGACTGAACTAAACTGAATATTTTATAAGAGAAGGAAATTAGGAGCTGAACTGAATTGAACTGAGCTGATTAGAGCTGAACTAAACTGAACTGAAAATAATCGTATGAGAACAGACCCTTAGTCTACAAAACCCTTACTTATTTCGGAATATCATCCATGGAAACACTTTTATTTTTTTTAGTTCTAATTTTACTCGAAATAAGAAGACTTTAAATGTTGTAAAAAAAAACTAACACTAATATTGAATTCTTATAACCATGTACTAATGATTATGTTTAGCAAACACAATACAAAGTTAGCGTTTTTTTAGTGTTGTAAAAAAAAAAAAAAAAAAAAAAAAAAAAAGAAGAAAGTTAAGAGGTTATTTAGATAAAACCTATCATCAAAGTTTGATTTTATTTAGATAAAATCTATCAAAGTTAGATTTTATTTAGAGAATAACTATTATTAAACTAGTTTAATTATTCTTTTGAATTTTTTTCATTTAATCATTTGGTCTTTTTCTTTATAGAAGCCCCATTTCTTGTACCTTTTTCCTACCTTTTTGTTGCCCCCTAAATTCACCATGTCTTCGAGCCAAATGAAACCTTTATCTACCTAAACCACCCCCAACAAGTGTTATTCATAGATAAAACTTACTTTGACCATGACTTTGACTTGAATGGATGACTGAAGCAGCCAAAAGGTATGTTGAATATTTGAATCATACCAAACCAAAGATGTATACCTTTATCCATATTGCATATTGCATGTTGAATACTTTTACTATAATCTATAGTTTCAAAAGGCATGCATAACCAACTAATGGACCAACTTCTCCCCAATCTGTTTAATACTACTTTCAATTAATAATGTTAATTATTACATTGTGTTTATATCCATTCTTCCTTTCTTCGTGATGACATGAAATTTAGAAGAATTTTGTTAACTAATGCTCTCGGGGTGTTAGATAGCAATATACAAAATTTTTAAAATAGTACTACGTATATATTAACTTATAAAATGCATGTCAAAATCATGTTTATCAATATTAATTAATTTATAAATCAAAGTAATTATTAATGTTTATTTCAATTTATATTTATATTTTAAATTGTCATATGCAATGTCCCTAGATGTTTGTTCCTTCCCTTTTTCTAAATCAATATTTCATAGGAGTATAATTTTCAAATTTTCAATTTTCCAAAGTTGGATAAGTTTTTTCTCAATATTGTAATGTATCCTAACTTATCGGAAGCGGTAATAATTGAGAGAGAGAGATAATTGGTTATCAATAAAGGGTCTAGCTATATATGTATTGGTGGTTGTTGAGGGCCTCTACAAAATCTGTTAATTAGTTTCATCGTATATATGGCGAGATGAAATTG